AGCACTTCTCATTTCCATGTATCGGTAGCATGTGCTATATCCTATCGTGATAACATGCTCATTATACAAACGTATTGCCGGTGTATGTCACCATAGGTGTCTTCAGTACGCGTCCATAAAGTTAATACCGTATTAAAGTGTATTCCAAACCCACAGGACTTGCGTCGAAGAAGCAAGGCACCTTCCAGACGCACCAATCAGTCTGATTATCATTAAGGTTTCTGTTTGACATGGAGCTGGTTTTGTGTAATAATAATTGGCAGTCACCCACTGCACTTTTCATATTACGTGGTAATGTTAATAACGAGTCTTTTGTTGTAGAAATAGTTTCCATTACCGCATACCATGGGAATACGCAGATGGAGCCTAGACTTCGGATTTAGATTAATCAACCATTACAACGTCTGCATTTCACTTGAATTTTGCTAATATATTACTTATATTTTATTTTGTATGAATTCTTCCATCATGATGCACAGGTAATCATTAATAACTCCAATCAATGCCGAAGTCATGGCTATAGCATCACATTCGTAAACTATGCTGTAATAGTGTCAGTGTCATACTGCCTGAACAATACCAGCTGTCTCACGCACAAAGCGTCCCGTGGCACAACGGTTTCTTTACATGTATTAGAAATGATATGATTATATGGTGATTAAGATATGAATGGCTTACACCTGATGCCACATCACACTTTACGAGTTATGGGCCATAACTTAATTGTCTTTTTTAATGCTTTTGCATGCTATTTGATAGAGTTCCTCACTCCTACAATAATATATCATTATTGTTCACGTTATTATTTATATAGTGGTGATGTTGACCATTATAATGGTAATGGTAATAAAAATGACAATAAGCATTGATAGTGATGAAAATAATAAAAACTATGTTCATGTTGTATTTATTAATTAATTACATTTATTATTCCTGATTTACCTTAGTAGATACCAACACACTCACTCACTCTCTCTCTCTCTCTCTCTCTCTCTCTCTCTCTCTCTCTNAGGAAAGGACGTCGCGACAGAACCTCCGATGAGCTATGAATATATCCAACAGGATCTGTTGATAACCCACAAAGGCGAGCCACGACTAATCTAATTCTAATTTGGCTTTGGCATGAAATAAGAACCAGTCTCAGTAACGGAGACGATAATGACATCACTCATATCAACTTACACCAGCCTCTTATTCTCGATTTGCCAGTGTCCACGTCTTTCCGGTTTAAAAGCTTTACATCCCTGATTCATCCTTACCGTGGCTATCGATGAGCTATATACTTCTCTCATCATTTTTTTAGTAGTGCTTAATTACCATCTGCTCCTATTCTTTATATTATACGCTATATGCAGCAAAATAGGATAACACTACAACATTACACATCTAACCTAATTAACAAGATTGTCACTTAAAGTTTCGATTAATCTTTATGTTTATTATTACATGTCATAATACCATTGCAAATAGTATCACTGAACCCGTGTAACTAGTAGCAAATTCATAGATATACATCTGCAGGAGACCATCTCTTTGAAAATAAACGATTAATAAGCTTTTGACCCGTGAACTATCTCACGTAGTGTAAGCTAATTAAATCTATATCCACGGTAATCAAAATAGTTTTATTCTAATAACACGTATGTTGACAAGAATTGGCTACCTTAAGCCACCACTTTTAGCCTACCCACAAATATGGCCTCCCCCTCTCTTCTCATGCGCTCAAACTATGTTAACAACTCCTAATCCTGACTCGGCAGTAGACAAGACAACTAAGTTAACAACAACACAGCACACTCTGTTCGTTATATATCGACATTTAGTGTGGCAGCCAACATCCCTTCTATCCGCTACCTCCGGGCACCCAGACTTCCTTCCAGGACCCCTTTTTGTGGATGCCAACTACGCGTTTTATCAAATCCACGCTTCGCAAACTGTAGATACACAGCAGACACGCACACAGCTTGCTTCTTCTTTAATTTCCAGTGCCTGGGCTCCTGATCTTGCAGTTGCTTTGCCTTCTTCCACTACGCTTAAAAGTGAGACTCATACTGCAGCATTAGCAAGTTCCTCAGTTTCTGATTTAAGCTTTACCTCCCTTGAGAGTAGCCAGGTTCCCTCTGATTCCTCAGTCCTGTTAGCCACTGTGCCCTTAGTTGAAACTACTTTTACTGTTGCTGAAAGCACTGAATCAGATATAGAACCTGAGCTCACAACAACTTTAGTTCTTGAAGACCCATTAGTCTCCTCTTCCTTATTTGTTACCACAGCAGGAACAGTAATAGAACCTCCCAGACATAATGAATCAAGTTATACCACAGATGTAGCCCCTACTTTAGACTCTGATGGAATTGTCACACCATTGCCTCCTGCCATGCCCACATCTGAACCTTCTGTTGATATTGACACTGAAGTGCCTATCACACCAGCAGCAGTAGACATAGATGAAATTATTACAACCAGAAAAAGTGATGAACCCCAAATAAGTTCAGAGAGGCCAAAGTTTACTTCCGTAGCAGTAGAAACTTTAGATTCTGCTCAAGCCAGTAGCCCCAGTAGTGAGATTAGTGCCACAGAAACAATTAGTCCTGCTGTGGGGAAACCTGATGTAACACCAGTTAGTATAGCACCGGATACCAGTGTTGCACCAGTTACTAGTGTAATACCAGGTGCTAGTGTAACACCAGATACCAGTGTAGCACTAGGTATAGCATCAGATACCAGTGTAGCACCAGGTATAGCATCAGATACCAGAGTAGCACTGGATACTAGTGTAGCACCAGATACTAGTGTAGCACCAGTTACTAGCACCAGTTGTGTAGCAATGGATACTAGTGTAGCACCAGATGCTATTGCAGCACCAGAGGCCAGTGTAGCACCAGGTGCTAGTGTAGCAATGGATACTAGTGTAGCACCAGATGCTAGCACAGCACCAGAGGCCAGTGTAACCCCAGGTGCTAGTTTAGCAGTGGATACTAGTGTAGCACCAGATGCTAGCGCAGTACCGGAGGCCAGTGTAGCACCAGTTGCTAGTGTCACCTGGACTCCTGTGCTAGGACCAGCAGAAGATGAGCAGGAGGAGAAGGAGGATGTTTCCTTGATTGCAGCCCCAACTGAGAGACCCCAGACTACAACAGTACCTCCCATCTTAGCACCAGAGTTGACAGGTGGTTTTACTCCTATTATTAGTGAAATTAGTAAACCTAGTGAAGTAGTGCCTGAATCTAGTGACCTTCCACTCTCTAGTGAAATAGTTGAAAGCACTGCAGTTCTCCCTGCACAAACCTCAAAGAGTATCGCTTTGCCAACACCAGAATCACCTTTGCTTGTAGTCACTGCCAGCATTCAAGAATATGACCACACAGAGAGTGTTATACCTAGTGACATTTCTCCAGTAGATGAACTTTTGTCAACTGTGATTCCCCAAGATAGAATTATAACTTTAATTGACAGGCTGCCTAAGCCAGTTGAGTCATCATCAGTTGTGTATGAATCTACATCAGAACCCCTCGTTCCTTCATTTGACATTGTATCCCCCACTCTTATCCCAACATCTCTTGTTCCAGAAGACTATGATTCCTTTATTGTTACAGATACAGATAAAACTCCTGCGCCCCCTGTCATGGTCTCAGAAAGACCTCTGCCTTCCCCATCTACCTCTTTAAAAGAAGTCTTACTTACTTCTCCTGATCCCTTTAAGAGTATGACCTTGGAATCTATAACTACTGCTATGGATACTGCCATAGTTAACACAACCTTGGCTTCTGTCTCTGCTTCTTCCAGTCTCCCGGTAGTCTCACCAGCTTTTCCAACATTACTAACAGCTCTAACAACAACAGACTCCTATGCTCACACTTCTTTACCTGCTGACCCTGAGACAGTCTTCCTGGCTCCCTCCCAGTCCCCAACCACTACCTCAGACTTACCTGCCCTGGTTGCCCCGACAGCCACAGAACCAGCTCTTGAAGACATTGCCACGGAAGTGTACCCACACCTAGATTCTGCTGCTATACCTGGAGAAGAAACTGCATCAGAGGAAGCAGCCAAGAAAGGTAGATGCAAGATTTTATTTTTGCTCACATTTTTCAGACTTTTGCTAGAAGAGTACCAAAGATTTTTATATTTGGTTGACATTAATAATCCTTTTAAAAGTAGTTATTCCTTTGTATTTATGAATACTTTGAGATAAGTTACGATATATATACTTTGTCTGAGAATATGTGCATGGAAACCAAGAATATTTAAAGGTAGTTCTAAGGTTATTACTTTTAAAATTCATTATACCCCTAACCCTCTGTTATCATGCTTATTGGTTATACATATGCACAAGATAGGAAAAATTTGCAATAGCAAAAATTGAGAATTAATAAAAATGGTTCAAATCAGTCTGTGGGCAAATAATCTATCCATATGTTTTGTGATTATTTTCCTCTGAACTCTGCCCCAGCAAGAAACATCCTCAACTAATAATGATAATTTCATTCTAATATCCCCCTTATTCACTGCAGAAGAAGCTGTGGATGTTCCAATGTCCTCTCCTCTGCCACCAGCCAGCCCCTCTCCACCCTTCACAACCACCACCACACCAACCATAACCACAACAAAGACCACAACAACCAAAGTTACCATACCTGCTTCTACAACCACCACCCAATTACCCACCACACCCCCGTCAGAAGTTAGCATCACCTTCATCATCCCAACTGGTATGTAAGGAAGAAAAAGAGAGGAGGACAAGATGAAACACATTGCCCAAAAAGTTTTTGGTTTAATAACTTTTTAACATTCAGATTTAAGCATCCAGTAAATATCAACAGTTATTACAGTGATTAATGAAGGTATACCTCAAACCCTTGTGTTGCTTGGATTTATTATATCCTCTTGCATTTTAAAAATATTAGCCATTTGATTATGATACCACAGCTTATTTAATGCTTTTAGTGAGAACTACTCTGCTTTTTATGTGCTGTTTCTCAATATTATGAAGTTGACCTTTTGTGTTACAGCTTCATCACAGTGTTGCAGTACTTAGTATGTCAATTTCAGACCAGAAATATATGAAGAACCCATTGAGTAGCAGTGATAGACATATTTATGTTGCTTTTTGAAATGTTTGTCACATATATTCATGCTTAGACTTATCATGTTGTTGGTTTCAGTTGTCCTTTAATTTTATTGCTGTAACCAAATTGAGATGGGCAACCTGAGCATATGACATAGTTATATAATATCCCTTTATATTAACTTTTCAATTTAAATTCTTTGACCTATTTGTTTGCAAATTATAACTATTCGGAAGTACAGTAACAGTTATGGTAAAAATTGTTTCTAAGATTATGATTGAAAAATGTATTAGGAAACATTTTTTTGTGGCATTTAGTTATACATCGCTGCTATTCTTGGACATATTTTCAGTATTTATATATTGATTCAGTGCTTCATTAAATCTTAATATTTCAAGCAAGTATTTCATTGATTTGAACTATTTTATTGGTACTAATCTTCCTTTTGATTTAAAAGAGATAAAAAACAAGGGATAGAAAAGTAACTTTCTGGCCCTGTAAGGGCATTGTTTGTATCCCCACAGGTTATAAAGATTTCTTTTAAGAATTGTTAGAAGATGTAATAAACTACACTTTATTTAGTGAATTTTGATTACTTTACTAAGCATGCAATTAACTGTCTTAGCTCTTTCTGAATTACATTCCACTAATATTATTTAAATTATTAATTCATAACACAGAATCGATGCCAACTCTGACAACTATTGTGGAGCTCTCGAATGGCACGAAGGTTGATCGTCCTGTGCCCTATGTGAGGGCACTTGTGGGTTACAGTGGAGCAGAATTCTGTCAGCACAGGCACAACTTCAGGGCTCTGCTGGCAGAATGGATTAGCAGACACATGGAGGATGTGTTAGTGATTGCTTTTATGCACTTATTATTAGCAGTGTTGTAATACAAGATATATGGAGTTTTTCATAATTGTAATGTAGATTTTGTAAATAATTGTGATCTCTACCTCAACAGAGATGTGTCACCGCATGATATCACATTCTTCAACATGCCTGATTGTAAGTCAGTAAAGCCACTCACTGAGGATCACCTGAACCAGCTTCCTGAAGACCCCACAGATCCTGACCAGGAGGCTGAGGATAAACTGAATGAGATATATGACTTGGAAAAAACGACAAATGTCTATTTCTATGTCAATCGTTCTGGCAAGATTGATCCATATTTAACAGAGCAGTTCCCACTTTTCCCAACTGAACTGGAGATCAGTGAAGAACTCTCATACCTTAAGTCTAAGGTATGTTTCTCAATGCCTTTCACGTATCTAATAATTCCAGATAAGCCTTATTGAGAATTTCTTTTGTGAATGTAACTCAGTTTGGAGATACCTGTGTATAGATTCTGTGATAGTTAATCCTTACATTCAAGAGGGCCTGGCAAGTTTGATTTAATTTCAGATGTTGAACTAACACTCTTATGTAGTCAAGATATTTTCTTTAGTTGTATATTAAACAGTATTTTGATAAGTGTCTCTTATACTAGCTTTATAGAACTGAAAAGTTTGGATCAAATTTAAACAAAAGATTCTGTTCTGGTATTGTAAGAAATTATTTTAATAACTTATATTGTACAAACCTGTACACATATATATGATAATCATCAATATATAATGTATATATCTTACAGGTAACAGAGTTAGAACTTGTACGTCCAGATGGTACCACAAACTCCAATTTATTGTTAGAAGAAGAAGGAGCAGTTGGCACCTCTGTTATTGTTATTATTGTAATTTCTACATTAGTTGGAGCTGCCATCATCATAGCCCTCATTTTCTTTGTAAGTGTTACTCTTTAAAATGTGTGTTATCAAGTTATGTCTAACATTTCAGAAATGAATTACAACTTTTGGTACGGGTATCATGATTGTTCATCCTGTACCTTAATTTCTTTCCTGCAATGTGCATATTATACAGTTACCTATTACCTTTTCCCTATTAATTTGATTTATATGAAAGAACTTTGTGATTATTAATCCCTTGGATCTGGTGGCTTTGATGCCAGCGTATGGCCTAAGATCCAAGCATTAGGCTTACTTGAGTGGTCACTCTTACGGGCTGTGGTTCGTAGGCCAGTCACGCACAAATGCTCATCTGCAATGTCCACACTCCTTGCCTTTCCTTTGTAATGTTATTCTCTCCTTTTCTGCATAAGCATTTTTTGCAATTTTCCAATGTCTATAATTCTTATTTTATTTACTGTATCTAGATGGTAGTAAATTGTTTTCCTTGCACAGATTCCATATCATCTTTCTAGGTAATTCATAACTCAGTGCATTAATGATATCAATAAGTAAAATTTTGCTTTTTTCATAATATTTAATTTACTGTAATACAACCCGCACAGCCAGTCACAGTGGGCAGGAATAGTATCCTGAACAAGGAAATAGTGTCCATCCTGGAGCCAGTGCTCTTTCATGGCTGATGCATGACATATTTCACACTCATGTACCAAGAGGAATAATACAAGAGCCCCTTATTATATGCCCATTGAGTCTAATCACCCTCTAAGAGCTTTTTATACATGTGGTGATTAATTACCCTGACCTTAAAACAGAATTCTCATGATGGTATGTTCCTGTCACCCTAGCCTTCAGACAAATTTTTTCATAACTGCATCTTCATGCACCTGCCTGTCAAACCAAATTTTTTCATGACGTCATATCATCTGGATCCAAAGGGTTAATAAAGGAATATGAAAGAATATAATTTTCCCTAAATATATTAGATATAAACTTTAGGTACAGTATTTCTGTATTCCTTTGCAAGTGAAATAGTTTCATTGATTATGGTAAAAGAGAGTTTTTTAACACAAGATATCACTTTTAGATGCTTGTAAGGAAACGTGGTGCTGCCAATAATTACTATGGGAGACGATGTACACCAGTCAGCATGGATGCCTACAGCATGGACAGCGTCTCTGTTTATCATTCCTTTAGAAGGAAAAGCAAAAGACGTGCCTCTGGAAGATCCATCAAGTCTTATCTTAATCAGGCCTTTGATGATCCGGTAAGATTACAAGAAATGTTTTGACGAATTCTGTTCTGTGATCATTGGTTCATTTATTACATTAATTTTTATGTTAATGTATATCTATGCCTGTGAATGCTATACCTTTTCCTGTAATATATTAGTCCTCTTGCCTTGAATTATTTCTTCTTCTTCTTCTTCTTCTTCTTCATTATTATTATTATTATTATTATTATTATTATTATTATTATTATTATTATTATTATTATTATTATTATTATTATTATTATTATTATTATTATTATTATTATTATTATTATTATTATTATTATTATTATTATTATTATCATTATTATTATTATTGAATTATGAACAATGTTTCTCATGATGAACAGAATGGACCTTCAAGACCACTGAACTTTGCTAAGCTTACACACTTCATCTCTGACATTGATGGAGTTCATGAAGAGTTTTCTACAATCCCAGTCAATATGCCAAAGTATGATGAGCTACCAGCTGGTGTTGAAGATAAAAATAGGTTTGTGGGACTCCTTATTTTTATATGCTATGTGTGCAAAATTTGATTTTAACATCAATTTTACAATTTCTGAATGTCCTTATTTATTATGGACATCATACAGATTTCTTTGTCATGAATCCATAAAATGCCAGCACTGACAGTTTCTTCCAAATATTATGCACATATATTTGGTAGCAAAGATTGTATTATATTTATTTTTTTCCCTTGTTCTTCCCCATACAAGATATGCCAATGTCATTCCTGTACCAGAAACACGAGTTATCCTCAAAACGGCAAAAGACTCTCCAACCTCTGAGTACATCAATGCCAACTATGTAAGAGGCTCCAGAAATGAGTCAAAGTACTACATTGCAACCCAGGTAAGGCACTGTGACAGTATTTTTGAAAGTGCATAGCTAGTAACTTGGCACACACTAATTAATTTTCACTTGCAGGCTCCACTAGATGACACAGTAGCGGACTTCTGGAAGATGGTGTGGGAACAAGAAACGCGTGTTATTGTAATGTTGACAGACTTTGTGGAAAAAGGTATTGACAAGTGTGCTGATTACCTTCCCCCTTCAGAAACACTAGATTGTCATAGAGTCTATGGTGAATTCCAGGTAGGCACTTTTATTTTCTGAACAATAATGTTAAGTTTTTAGTTGAATGAATAATGATAATTACACTCTTAATTTCATATAATCTATTTCATATTATTTTGTCTAGATTTCTAAGGCATTCATCTTCCTAGATAAATAAATTTTTTAACTGTGATTTTTATTAGAAAATTTAAGGTTTTTTTTTCCTGTCATCTTTAGAACTTCATAAGTATTTGTTACAGGTTTTCACAGTTTATGGTCTGATTAGGTAAAAAAAATTCTTTCTTTTCTTTAGGTAACCCTCAAATCTCGTGACATGAAAGAAAAATTTGTGGTATCTAATGTCCAACTGAAAAATCTAGAAAACAACCTGGTCCGAGAAGTGGCCCACATGTGGTTCACTGGGTGGCCCACAGCTGGTGTTCCTAATGAGGAGTCTGGTTTTATATCCTTCATCCTTGAGGTCAGAAGGAACAGGAAGAAGCTTCGAGCCAAAGGACCTGTTGTGGTCCACTGCAGGTAATTTTTTCTTTTCTTGAATCGGAGATATCATAAACTTAATATTTTTTAAAGGTTGTTGCACTTGACTGTGATAAATATACATAATAATGTGATGTCACTGCTGATGTCAATGTATTGTCCTCTCTTTAGTCCAGGGACAGGGCGCACTGGTACTTTCTTGTCCTGTGACATGGTGATGCGACAATTTGAAGATCAGAGAACTGTTGATGTTCCAAGGACAGTGTATTCTATAAGGAGGGATAGAGCTGGTGCAGTGCAGACAAAAGAACAGTATGCCTTTATCTACAGGGTAAGATCTTTATGAAGATAGTAATACAAGTCTCTCTTGTAGTAAGCATATTTTTTTAAGAAACAAAGTAGATTTGTTGAGTAGAGGTCTTGCATAACCACTGATAAAGATATAATTATATTGTTAATACGTTCATATTTTTAAGATAATATTGTGTGATATATATGAGGTCATCTAACATTTTAATAAGATTAGCATGTCTGAAACCTATCTATTTATCTATCTGTCCTAGAACTTTAAATCTTGATTAAAATTATATAAATATCATTGACTTTCCTCCCCTTGATGATCCCACAGTGTTATCATATATGCATCTAACTTACTTACAGGAAACCTTGATTCCCTTTAAAAGCACAGAGAAGCAATATAACATATTATGTGAATGAAAATTTTATGATAACAAAGCCTGGTTGCAGTAACTGGTTTGTTTTTTTAATATATTGTGTGATTCAGATATGACTGCATAGTATTTGACCTGGTGAAAAATAAACTTTGTTTAAGTTGGTAAAATAATAGAAAGTGTTGTAATCTCCTGATGAGGTCAAAAGCCCGATACATGCTGTTCGATTTATGCGCTCTAAGGTCCCAAAGGAGACAAATGGTGCTCCAATAAACTATGCTAAAGTCCTGTATCATGTTGCTGAAGTCCAAAATGAAGTATTTAGAAATATAATAATTTTCCTTGTGCAATTTTGCAAACTTTAATAACACACCATTATGAAGTAATCAGCTTTAATACAAAAGAATTCTTATACACACAAACATTGTGTGCACTACTATTTTGTGTTTATCCACATGTGGCTATGTGACTCACTAACACAAAAAAGTGGATATATTTTGTACAATGGCGTTATTTATTCCTATGTCTTCTCTCAGTCCATGATAAAGCTCAAAAGGAAAGACAAGCTCACAAAAGTGGCCTCAAGAGATAAAAGTGCAATAAGATATAGGACTCCTGACTAAGCATCGCATTATGGTACCTACACATAACATATATAATATATATAATTAAATTAAATAATTTCATATATATATATAATATAAATATATATAACAGATATATATACATATTATATATATGAGTATTATATATATATATATATTTTATATATATACAGATATATATACATATATAGTCCCTCTATATTATATTACGCTTATACTTACTTTCCTTATACCTCTACTATTACTTACATATATATATATATTACTCTTATATATATTTGTCTCCCTATTAACTCCTTCTCTTATACATCATTACCTACCCTACCCTCACCCTACCTCCACCCTACCTCTTATATACTTCATCTTACTATCTTTCTTATTATATATACTACTCTTATACATATATACTATGTACCTATACATACTTACCTCATTATATTACTATACTCTACTCTTCCTCTTACTTCTCTCTCTACTCATATCTATCTCTTCTCTCTCTCTCTCTACTTTATACTTACTTTACTCTATACTATATATATACTCTTATACTACTATAATGTTTACTATCTACATGTTATATGTACTTTGTACTGTATATCATTACTATATATATATATATATATATATATACACATATATACCTCTACTTTATCTCTCTCCCTATATTCATCCCTATTATATACTATATCTATCATATATATATAACTATATGTCACTATTTTGTATGCTTCGACTTTCTCTTATATACTTCTATTCGTACTGTGCTATGTGCTGTACTTCTCCTCCTCTTCTACTTATATAATGTTTTTCCTTATTATGCCTTTTGCTGTATACCTTCTATACACATACATATACAAATCCTATCTCTCTATATTATCACCATACATTATACAAATATACTTAGTATATTACCACTACACTATACATATATTATACACATTTTAACCTCCTCTATTCATCTCCTTATCTATTTCTATTATCTCATATTTCTATCCTATCTATCTATCTATCTATTATATATGTATATTTATACATATACATATACATATACATATAATATACACTCGTCTCTTTTATTACTCAACTATCTTCTCTCCCTACCCTCCTTTATCATTATTATCTATATATCTTACTCCTTTTATCTCTCTACTCTATTTAATCTCCACCCTTCAATTATACTATATACTACTCTCTATTACATTTCTCATATACTTTTACCACTCCTACATTATCACCAATATTACATCTCTCTCTCTCTCCTCTCTCTCTATACTTACTACATTCTACTCATCTCATCTGTACTACTCACTTACTCTTCTATATATCTTCTTACTTCTCTCTCTCTCTCTCTCTCTAACTCTATCTTCTTCTTATACCTCTTTCCTTATCTTCATCTCTTATATTAAATCCCTACCTTTACTTACTATATACTTCTTATTACTATCATTCATCTACACTACGTATATCTATACATATTTACAATTTCACATTATACCACTTCTATACTCATTCACTTCTACTCTTTAATCATATCATTACTCTACTATACTCTATCTCATTATACTCTCCTTCATATATTCATCTTACTTATATATTCTCTCTATCTATCATCTATCTTCTTATATATACCTAATACACTCATTCATTACTCTCTCTCTCTTACTCTCCTCTTCTTCCTCTTTCTCTTTTATTTACTTTACTTTATTACTATGTCTTATTACCCTATAATATATATATATATTACTACCTACCTATCTTACTCCTAACTCTTATATCATTATACTCCATCTTATAAATATATATTATGTGTATATATAATATTACTACTCTCCTCTCTCTTACTTTATCCTACCACTTCCTCTCATACTCACTTTATATTATATTATACTACTAGTATTCTCTACTATATATAAACTACTTACTCATTACTCTCTTATACTATTACCTCTCTCTTACTACTTACTATAATGGTATCTCTTGTTATATGTATATGTTACTGTGTATCTTATCCATATCTATGTATCTACGCTCTATTATATCTTCTTCTTGTATATACTATATAAACTCCCTCTCTCTTCTCTCTCTATATACTACTTGTCATATGTTATATATAAGCTCATATTATACTCCTCTTATATATACTTAGCTACTATATATAACTCTTTCATTGCTGTCTATTATATTACTATATTCTGCTATCATGTCACTGTTTCATCTCTTATCTTATATTATATCTCTGCTCTTCTATTGTATGTGTCATTCTTACTACTATTGTCGCTTACTCTTCTTACTCTCTTCTTTCTCTCTCTATATCATTCTCTCTCTCTCCCCCCTTCTATATTCTTATACCCCTATATATACTCATATATATATACTATATTATATTATGTATTGCTATATATGCCTATATATGTATGTACTATAGGTACTGTATATAATGTATATATGTATATATGTATGTATATATATGTATGTATATATATATCATATATATATATATATATATTATATATGTATGTATGTATACTACTATATATGTATATTTATGTGTATATATATGTATATATGTATGCTCGTATATTTATATGTATATGTTATGTACTTCTAATTAATCATTATCATCTCTCGTATCATGAATCGTGTTACCTATTATATGTCTTCATTATATACTATTTACACTATTACTATATTCTTACCCCTATTCAGTATATACTTATTACTACTATTTACTCTATACCTATCTTATAAACCTCCCTTACTCCTTCTATACTTATATTATGTACTATGTATGTCGTCTTGCTTCACTTACTATATATGTCTCTCTCATATGCTATGTGCTCTGTTCTATTACTATATATATGTATATGTCACTGTGATGTACTCATACTATACTCGCTCTATGCTATATGTGCTGCTACTATACTTATATGTATACTGTATTGTGTGCTATATTCTACTATTGTGCTATATGTATGTGCCTGTATATTTATGTATATGTATGTGTGTTATTATATCATAAGTGTTACTTACTTTATGTGTATCGCCTATCTCTCTATTCTCATTCAATATGTATACTGCTATTGTGCTCTTCATTATCACTTCTCACTTGCTACTCTGTATGTATTGTCTCTTGCTCTATACTGTACATATGTATTTTCTGTGTTCTAATATATATGTATATGTATGTGTGTATATGTAATGTATGTGTACATAATATATATTATATATATAATATATATATATAATTTATATGTATATATGTATATGTAGTGTATATATATGTATGTGTATTATGTATGTATATATATGTATGTGTATATGTATGTACTATGTAGTATATGTATGTATATATGGTATGGTGTAATATGTATGTAATATATATGTATGTGTTATATTATATATATATATATATATATATATATATATATATATATATATTGTGTGTGTGTGTATATGATGTATATATATTGTATGTATATATATGTTATGTGTATATATATATGAATGTGTATGTATATATGTATGTGTATATATATATATATATGTATATGTATTATATATATATGTATGTATATATATGTATATGTAATATATTATATATTATATATATATTATATAGTATTATATATATATATCATTTATATACTATATATATATATATATATATATATATATATATATATTGTGTGTGTGTTGTGTATATATATATATATTATATGTATATATATATATACTATTATATGTTATATCTATATATTATATATGTATATATGTATATACATATATTATATATGTATATATATATGATATATATAAGTATATTATGTATATATATTTGTATATATGTATATATAATGTGTGTATATATGTATATATCTATATGTATATATAGTATATATATATATATATATTACATATATCATATTATATATATATATATATATATATATATATATATAATATATATATATATATATATATTACTATATATATATATATTATATATATATATATATATACTATATACTATTATTACTACCATATTATATATTATTATATATATATATAATATATATATTATATAT